ATCACCATCGTGTTCAACAATGAAAAACCTATTTGTTAAGTAATTTTTTATCATTTCGAGAAAACTCAAAACTATTCAATTTATTGAGGAGAACATCATGATCTTTATCAAATGCCTTTTGAAAGTCTGTGAACACTATATCCAATTGTGACTTGCCATATGCACGATTCCATATGCACGATTCCATATGCACGATTAGTAAAAAGAAATAAATTATCGACTAAAGGCTTGCCAGGTACAAAACCATGTTGTTGGGGAATAACATATTTCTCAACATGCTGATACAATTCAACGTGAATTAACTGTTCAAATAATTTAGATGGTGCACACATAATAGAAATGCACCTATAATTTATTATGTCTATTCGGGTTGCAGGCTCAGGTATTGGAGTGACTGTGGCCGTCTATATCAAAAGAAACACTTTTGTAGTAAAGGTTCACTCAACCACTCGTTGCAAGCTTTAAGAATATATGGTTGTATAGTGGCGCACCGTCTTGCTGAAAAAACAGTCTTTGGAAATTAGCTAAGTTGAGATTATCAAAAAACTATTCCAATATGGTTTCAAGAAACTCAAAATAACGCTCACCTGTTGAAGTAACATCTTGAAAAAACTGGTCCAATGATTTTTGAATCATTAAGACCACACCATACATTTATGCTGAAGCGTATAGTCGAAGTAAACGATATTGTACATACTTAAAGTTAGGCACTCTCAAAGGCCAAAAAAACCAATACATAAAAATGAACCGGCTGCGAAATAGTCCACATGGACCGTAGAATTGGCGTTTCGTATTGGATAATTTTTACTAACCGAGTTTTATGATTGGCTGAAGAGTCATAAAATTAAATTTGAAGTCATGTTATGGTGACGAATAGAATGCGAGGATGGTTATAACAGTCGCTGTAGTGTTCAGTTCAGGAACTGATTGCGATTTGAGTGTTGAAATCCGATATTAGTGCAGTTATAATTACTTGAAATGTGTGTTATCTGTTTAAAAGGTGGCGTCCTTGGACAAGTAGGTACTAATAGCAATAACAAGTGTGATAACAACGCAGATTTTTTCCAGTGTAGTGATTCCACTAGCGATGGGGAACAATGCGAAAAAGAGATACCAGAGAATAAGATTCGGATACATTTGAATATTGAAACACAGAGAGTATGTTTCAATGTATATAAGAATCTACATCTCAGATTTGGTTTCGAGGGAAATAACTAGGTATTACAAGCAACATCAGATTTGACCGAAATTCCTTTCTCAACTGTACGTAAAATATTCAAAAACAAACCTTATGAACGCAAGACGCGATGTGATACAGGATTAACAAAACATTTAGATGTTCATCTAATAAAATCATTGAAAAAAACAATATACGACTGTTACAAAAGCAATGAGATTCCTATATTTTTTTTATTCGTTTAAAAAACCTATCGATGCCATTATGTATGGAATATAAAATTCAAATATAACACCCACAAGAAAAAGTCTAACGGGGTCAAATCGCACGATCTCAGTGGCCATTTCACATCACCACCACGTGATGTGATGTGTGACGTGATGACCATGCCCTCTAATCGCTCGTGAAGAATATCCAATGTGGCATGAGCTGTAGCGCCGTCCTGTTGAAACCACATGCCTTTGGTGTCCAGATCATTCAATTCAGGCCAAAAGAATTATAAACCATCGACTTAGGCCTCTTATATTGCACGTGCAGTTGTGCGGCTTGCAGTTCAACGGCAAAAAACGCTCCAAAATTATGTATGTAGGAGCAAATGCTTCCTTTTATGCAGTTGCGGTCAAGAAATTTGCGGTCGGATGTGGCAAACATGCGGTCGTCCATCTAATCATGCCGTAGATTTGGACCGCAGACGTCCGACCACATTTTGTGGTTATACATTTTTAAATACACGTACCCAGATGGAGGTTATTATGCAGACGTTCAACGTTTTTGTTGGCGCCAACTGTTGCTCTCCCCCAATTCCGACTGAATAGTTTTCAAAATGAGTACAGATGGGGTACACGTCAACACAGCAGTTTATTGAGGAAATCAGATTTAGGACGGCTATTTGGGATGTATGGTCCGAAGATTATAAAGATAGGAATATCAAAAAGAATCTGTGGATGGAAATTTGTCTGATATTTTATCTAGATTTCGAAGAATACGACGCGAAAAAGAAATTAAACTTTTGTAAGTATTAACATGTGTATTTTACATTACCTACCTGATACCTACCGGATACTTTACTGTTCATGTAATTTTCATATTTTTGAATTTTGCCAGGGAACTGAACCAGCAGAACTTACAAAATATTCTGTCAAATCTTGTCTACCACTGTAAGCTTTTTTTTTTCTCGGTGCAACAAGAAGTCCTCAACTGTTATCGGTGTCATGTACTCCAACGATTTCCAGTGTATCCTCAAATTGCAAACCGTCTCTGTTTCTAACAAAGTTATGCAATGCACAAGTTGCTTTAACAAAAACAATACAGTTATTTACACTCACGTTCATTGCTTTATGCGATATTCTCCACTTATTTGTGAGTATTCCAAAGGTACATTCTACAAATCGTCTAGCATGGGACAATCGTTAATCAAAAATTTTCTGGCTGTGGTTGAGGCACTTTCTTGAAAATGGACGCATTATGTTGAGGGATATTCCAAAAGCTTCGTATGCAACAAAAACGTAAGGAACAACCTTCGAATCTTCGTTAATTTTTGCTGGCGGTGGGATATGCAACGAACCAGATTCCGAAGCGTTTCCAAAAGAAGACCTCTCAATGATTGTTGAGTCTGCATCTTTCCCATGTGCACCAACATCATTATATATAAATTTATAATGGCTATCAGCAACAGCCATTAAAACGATAGAGGAATTATTCTTATAATTGTAGTACAATGAACCAAATTACTCAGGTTTTATAATCCTTATGTGCTTGCCATCAATAGCTCCAATGCAGTAAGGAAAATTAGCTCGTGCTTTGAAATCCTATTGCCATTTGTTGCCAAACTTTTGAAAATTGTGCTCGCCGTTGACAGTGATGGCCTGGCCAACGAAATATGGACCGATGACACCGCCAGCCCCAAATCCAAACCAATCAGAGACTTTTTCGGGAAGCATTGGATCTCATGTGGATTGGAATCGTTCCAAATTCGACAATTTTGTTTGTTCACATACCCATTCATCAGAATTAGGCCTCATCGCTGAAGATTAATTTTCGATTAAAATTAGGGTCAGTTGACAACTGCTCCAGAGCCCATTCAGTGAACTCACGTCGTTGTCTATGGTCTTTTACCTTCAGTTCCTTGGTCAGTTGAATTTTGTATGGGTGTAGGCCCAAGTAACGATGCAAAATTTGCCAAGTTGTGTTCTGGGAAAGGCCGAGTTCTTGTGAGCGACGGAAAATCGACTGCCTCGGATTCTCCTGCACACTCTAACGGAGGGCGGCGATGTTTCCGGCAGATATTGCGTTTCGTCGACGTACGGGTGTTGGTCGGTCGTTTACTAAACCAGTGGTCTCAAATTTATCTACCGCACTGCGAATAATCCTCTCAGTAGGACGATTATGGCGACCGTAAAATGGGCGAACAGCGCGATACGTTGCCAAAACAGAACACTCATTTTGATAAAACAATGTTATTATTTGCACGTGTTGTTAAATGCTGCATCCATCCATGGTGATTTGGCAAAACAAATTAAAAACATGAGAACTAATTTAACAGATGTAGCTTTAACAAGATGGCCGTTATCAATTGTCAAAGTTCAGAAGTCCCTGTTGGAAGACCTTATAGTTCTATAATATAATAATCTCCGCACTGAATGTTGAAACCTCAGAACCTCATGATATTCATTGGTGCAGATGTTATGGCATTATTTAATACACGGGAATATCTTCAAAATGTTTTACGACTACTAAACGTTACTATTCACTTATTGATACAAATCAAAAAATTATGAAACGACAACAAAAATTAATTGGCGCTCCGGGGTGACTTCATTGAATCCAGTGGAGCATTTGCTTTTTCAGCTGCAGGAAAAACCTGCAGTACCACATCATCTGAAGATCTTCATCTGCCAATGTCATCTCTTTCATAAAACAAAATGTAGGGTGACTCCAGAGGCTCCAATAAATTCAAGACATCGTCAGAACACTTAGTGACACGACTATCGTCAAACATAAACCAGACCGATTCGTCTTTGACCAATGCGTAATAATGACCAGATTCAACGCCAGAACCACAGCGAACAATGATTGTATGAAGATTATAATAGTTTAAAATCTGTTTTTCCGTTAATCAGCTGTCGCCCCCATACGAATGACAACTCTCAGAAGTTGAGAAACTTGTGCGAGCTAGGTCTGCTAGATTGAAGTGTTCATCTATTTCGAACCTTCGTAAGAGTTTGGTGCTTCGGTCAGAGATTGAGTCATGTATGAAGATCAGTGTTATTATTAGATTGACTGAAGCCTCAGCAATACTTGTTTTCTTATGATAGTCAGTTAGTTTGGCGCATGTTTGGCAATACAGTTGATCATCACCCGTTAAAAGTTCCATTTTCAGATGATTTAATGATAAGCTTTGCACGGACTGGTTATCAGTCATATTAGGAAACGCTAGTTGAAGTTTCACAAAATCACATACGTTTTTGCAACTTCTTAAACATTTACTACAAAGTAAACAAGTGAGGATTTTTCCTGCAAAAGATCTACAAACACAAAACGACATACACTGTACGTAATCATTCAATCCAGAGCGATCAGGAGTATTGATTCTGAAATATTTTTGCTCACGAGGAGTATTCAATAAGAACTCCAAGACTCCAGGAAATCGGTTGGTGGGTGGTGGGAAAGATAATACATTCTTAAGAAACTGCAACTACAGGAACAATTGTTTGAGTTTGGTGAATAAGTAGGAAACATTATCGGCTCTGTTTTTATTTGTTTTCAGATATTTTCATCCATACTGATATTGATATGACTTACTCAACTAATTATTTTTTTACAGAATGTAACTGCAACGGATATTCCAACCGATGTTATTTCAACGAGAAACTTTACGAACAAACAGGACATGGTGGTCATTGTTTGGACTGCGCTGTTAATCGGGATGGACCCAACTGTGAAAGATGTAGAGACAATTACTACATGAGGGAAGATGGTTATTGCATACCGTGTGACTGCCACGCTGTCGGATCCAGAAGCCTCCAATGTAACGCAGAGGGAAAGTGTCAGTGTAAACCAGGAGTTAGTGGAGAAAAATGCGACAGGTTTGTAACGCTCAGGGGCATAATTTTCATTCAATGTGGAATTTGATATCCAGGACGAAAATTGAAGACAATTACAATATCTTCCTCATAGACTTCCAGTTTTTATTTGCATTTTTTAAACTCATTCTGTTTTGAATCTGTAGGCATACCATCGTTATTCCACTCTAATAAACACCTTAATCTAACTTGATAATTCACAGATGATATTAAGATGTTTCGGTCCCACTTTCAAAACACATCATCTCGTTTATTAAAATTCATTCCCGAATCGTCTAGATTGGGTTTGAGCTGTGAACTAATTAAATGAAGGGTTGAGTCAATCTGAAAAATAGTGATAATGAAAACTAAAAGAAAAAAATTAGGACAAGATAACTCATTTAAGTGCTGGTAGAAAATCAAAAGAAAGACAAAGAACTACTGAAAGAAAAGTAGATGGAAGGGAAAGGACTTCTGCTGGTACAAAATCAGAAAGAAAACAAAGTAATACTGCTACAGAAACAATGAAGACTAGATACTTAAATATTGTTGACGAGTAGAGAAAATATAATAGTATGTTGGTTTAAGAACTTGACTTCACTAACCTGATAAGTAATTGAGAGAAAACTTGAAATTGTGGTATTCAATAAACTAATTATGAAACTAATTATTTTCAACAGTTCATGATTGGAGCTTTCGTTTTGTCAAAGAAATCAATATTAAAATTAACACCGCTTAGTTGATAGAATCACCAAAAACAAGTAAAGCAGAAACAGGAGTTAAAGAATCACCAAAAACAAGTAAAGCAGAAACAGGAGTTAAAGGTTCTGAAAGAACATTTTGAAAGCGGTTCACGTTTATTAACATATTTCAGATAGTGCAGGCAAATTTTGATTTCAATTGCTTCGTGTTTTTTTTTTTTCTAGTTTAGATTGTTTTTATGGCGGTGTTTTGCAATCTGTTTTTTGATGATGTTCAAAGAGGTCATAGTAACAATGAAAATGATTTTGATCTAGCTGATGTTCAATTATTCCTTGTCCAGGTATTAAAATAACGGTTTGGTATTGGGAAAAAACTCCAGTAATATTTATTCTGTTATTGTATTGCTTACTTCACCTTTGTCTTGCTTCAAAATTCCTTTCACTTTGTATGAAATTCATTAACAGTATTTTTGTTGAATGTTATAGCTTCAGACATTTTTCTAAAAGTTTCAGTCTTTCTGATATCATATCAAGTCATTTCCCGATACTTCGATTGCTAATATCCATAATCGCCCGTTTCCCGTTCAAGGCACTGCATCCCGTTTCCCCATCTAATTTAGAATTTCCACAAAATCCGGATCTAAAGGCAAACTCAGCTGAATGTATCTTTTTTCAATGTATAAGTGGCGTCTTCGAAACAGTATTTCTCCCTATGGATAATCTAAGTTTCAGACTTCTGTCAGTTGTATTAGTAGTTTTAGACGTGCTCCGCTATTCCAGACTTTGCTGGTTTACCTACTTTACTGGGCGCTTCATCAATCCTTCAATAGAAAACATTCAACCCTATAATAGTAAACATTCATTCTTTCAATAGTAAACACAATTCTTGGAGTTTTTGCTAGCATTACGTGGTTTTTGGCTTTCGTAAGGCTGCTAAATACCGATTTTGTGTTCGAATTTGAAAAAGATTCTAATATTGAAATCGTTTTCTGTGTACTGTTACTTTGTACTGTGGTACTTCTGTGGTACTTTTACATAAGAAAAATACCATCGTTTGTGATCCTTTTCTTTTTTGGTGTTCCTTTTTTCTGACCAATATTTATTCTACTAGCTTCTTGGAAGTAGTCGAACAAGTAATAGCCTAATCATGGTTCTCTGCAAAGACTTAATACTTAATAATATGAGTACGTTTGCAATACACAGACGTTTCTCACTCTCTATAAAAATTCCTCACTTTCACATCCACTTCATGAAAAGCTATTGAGGTGTAGTAGAAATAGGTTCAGTTCTGTGTCTCTATTGATCCACTCTGTAAAGGTATAGAGATCCGAAATATGTGATCCTAGTGGACCTAGAAGTAGTTTCGAATCATCAGAAAAAAGTCATTTATCGCCAGAAGATCATTATGGGCACTAACATTTGGTCAGATCATAATCCTGTCATCCTGATGCTGGGTGATTATCCCCCTCCCCAGGATTATCGCATGAGATCATCCACGGATTGGGAAGCCTTCAAGGCTCACCTAGTGGAGACACGTACAGACCGTGAGGCGCTTCAAACTCGACGCGGCAGTGGCAGATTTCGAATTGTCTGTGAACAATGCTTTTCGCGCAGCCACAACCAGCACAGAGTGTCCTTTGCGGAGCTACAATGAGTTTCCCTCCAGGATAAAAAACCTTATTCGAGAGAGAAATCGACTCGAGTTTATCAGCGGACTCTCTACCCTGGAGACAAGATTGCGGCTAGCAGGATGGTCAACCAGGTTAAACAGGCCAACACTGACTATAGAAACGAGAGGTGGAGCGAGTGTTTGGAATCGCTCGGACCTGGGGATGACGAGCTCTGGCGAGTCATCCGCAGGCTCGAGAAGAGGAAAACCGCTCCCTCCCCTCTTCACGGACAGCGCGGCATCTGCTACTTCCCCGCCGAGAAGGCGTTGGCCTTTGCAGACACAATGGAGAGTCAGTTTCAACTTAACGTTGATCCGGATGCGGATATTGACCGTGGCTGGAACACCGGGTTCGGCACATCCTTAGGGGAAATGATGACGACGTGTGTTGATTCAATCAACAACAGGTTGTTGAAGCAGCTCTAGGAGAACTTCATCAGATACCTGCTGGACATTATCAATCACTCAATCACTCTCAGATACTTCCTTCGAAGATGGAAGCATGCCGTAGTTATCATGATTCCGAAACAGGGCCAGAACCCGCTGTTTCCCCAGAATCATCATCCGATTAGTCTGCTTTGCTCAACGGCTAAGGTGGCTGAACGTGTTGTGCTGCAAAGGCTAACAGAAGAAGCTGAAGACCGAAATGTTTTGCCTGAAGTACAATTCGGCTTCAGGGGGGCACCCTCCACCGAGCTGCAGGCCCTGAGACTGGTCGAAAATTCCATCTCAGAGGTGAACAACAGGAAGACAGTCCATCTCGTCCTCCTGAATATTTCGAAAGCCTTCGGCCGAGTCTGACACGAAGGCCTGCTAGAAAAAATGCTCAATTTCGATCTGCCTTGGGATCTGGTCCGGTGGATTAGATCCTTTCTGAAAGGCAGAACATTTCAGGTCCGAGTTGAAGGAACCCTGTCTCCCGTCAGGGAAATCTAAGCTGGAGTGCCTCAGGGAGCTGTGCTGTCTCCACTACTGTACAGCCTTTACGTGAGCGACCTTCCGAGGTTCGATCACGTGAAGGTTTCCCTTTACGCCGATGATACGACTCTCGTCGCTTCTTCCATGGGTCGGGCGTTGACGGTCGTTTACATGCAACGCGCATTGGACGACTTCGAACGCTGGTACCTTGACTGAAAGATTCGGGTGAATAAAGAAAAAACTCAGGCGATAGACTTGGGGAGACGTAAAGTTTCTCCAGACACAAGGGTCACGATTTCAGGCAGGGAGATCGAATGGCAAACGCGAGTCAAGTACCTAGGTCTTCGGGTAGACCGCCGACTCCCCTGCGAAAATCACATTGAGTATATCAAGAGCAAAGTGCAGATGAGGATAGCTAAACTCTATTCTCTGGTCAATAGAAATTCAAAGTCCAATCTTAAAAATAAGATTTTACTATACAACACGATGTTCAAGCCTGTCATCATGTATGCTTCAGGTGCTTGGGGACAAACCGCCCCGTCGAACCTCTCCATTTTGGAAAGGTTGCAAAACAAACTTCTCAGGATGCTGGTGAATGCTCCAATCCACAAAGATTTGAAGCTGTTAACTATACGAAAGTCCATTCAGTCGAGGAATCAGAGAGTTTTCGAGTCAGCGGAAACTCATGATAACCCATTAGTTAGGGAAGCTGTAGATTACATTATAGAAGACCGCACTCGATTCAGAAGGCCCCGTCGCTCGGTTGAGTGAAGGCCCCACGACGTCTGTTAAAATGAACACTTTGTTCATCAAATACCCCAGTCAGAAGGGGGTACACAAGACCAGAGCGACCTTTATGTTGCCACCAAAACACCTTACGTTATGAACCATTCGTACTCCTGACGAATCTCAGTTGAAAGGGTAAGGGAAAAAATTCCAACCTGATGAAAATGAAGATGACCAAGAACTAACATTTGGAACTCTAACATTCATATACTTTGTTAGCGATTCTGAATATCCGCTCAGAGAAATGTATAGATGTAAATAACGAATCAATTGGAGATTAATAATGAGCCCAGGACTTGGTACAATTGCTGTAGAGATGAACAGGTTCAAGTTTATCTTACTCTTGTATAACTCAGTCATCAATAATGAGAATATTCGAAAATGACTTCAATTATAGCTGAAAAAAATGTTTCCGATAATTAGTATGAGTGAAGGAATGGTAAAAAAGTGGTAAGAACAAATTTCAGTGCTGACTTTATGTTAAAAAAATGTTGTTAAATAATGTTCACGTCTATAAATGTGCATCTCTGACTAGTGATTTACCCTAAGATGTCATTTTTATTTTGGTAACGAAATTTTTGTTGGTTTGTAGGTGCGAAGTGAACTACTACGACTTCTCATCGAACGGTTGCAAAACGTGCGGCTGCCACGTTTCAGGATCTCTCAACAACTCTTCCGAGTGTATCGCCTCCACGGGGGTGGATGGGTCAAAGAGGAGGGTTTGCAAGTGCGAACACAACACCGCAGGTCCGGACTGCAACGAATGTCTGCCCTTCTACAATGATGCTCCCTGGGGCAGGGCCACAGCTCAAAACTCGCATGAGTGTAAACGTGAGTAATTTGTTATTCTGATATGTGAGATAATAGTGGAATTCTGGTTGTCACAAATTGTTTTCTTTGATTATAATACGCGCTCCTTACCTATTAAGCATCGTGTCCCACAGACAACTATACTGGGACCATTTTTTGTGGTGTGTACGCTTTTACGGTCTATATCTAACAAATTGTCCGATGTTTCCGGGTTTATTAGCCGTAGTCTGCAGGATTTTATACCTTACGCTTCGTCTGCTACTGCGGCATACATTATCAGAGGCGATATGTTTGTACTTATGATAGGACGGTATTGTATTGGACGGCCTTGGGCTCTTGTAGTTGATTGATTCGACCCTTTTTCAATTATTGGGCGAATATTTTTGTTATAGGACCGATATCCATGTCTTATTGATGTTCAAGCTCTCTTCCTTACGGTTGAAATTATTCTTATGTGTATGTATTTCTATGGCCTCCCTGAATAGTATCGGATAGTCGCATAGTATCCTCTAGTTTCATCAAGAACTTGCGTGCGCTCGAAGACAACGTCATGGCTGCCCTGTGAGAGAGCGTGTTGAAGCTTTTCGTGGTTCCGACGTACAACGAACCACAACTACACGGTTTTCAGTACACTCCTGGGGTACTTAAGGGATTCCGGATCTTTTGCTGACCTAAGACTATTGTCTATCGTTCTCACGGGCTTGAAAATGGCCTTAACCCCATGTTTTTCGAGGATCCTTCCAGTTCGGTTCGTCGCGTATGCAGTGCAGTAGTTCCTAGGCAGGTAGATAACTCTGTCCTGGGTCTGCGACTGAAAACACCTGCACCAGAACCGGAAGGTGCTTTTGATCCATCTGTGAACCAACAACTATCTGCTCTTAATATTCCCACAAGGAACTATACTGGGACTATTGTTTGTGGTGTGTACGCTTTTACGGTCGATACCTAACAAATTGTCCGATATTTCCGGGTTTATTAGCCATGGTCTGCAGGATTTTATACCTTACGCTTCGTCTGCTACTGCAGCATACATTATCAAAGGTGATGTGTTTGTACTTATGATGGGACTCAGTATTGGACGGCCTTGTGCTCTTGTAGTTGATTGGTTCGACCCTTTTTCAATTATTGGGCGAATATTTCTGTTATAGGACCGGTATCCATGTCTTATTGATGTTCAAGCTCTCTTCCTTACGGTTGAAATTATTCTTATGTGTATGCATTTCTATGGCCTCCCTGAATAGTATCGGATAGTCGCATAGTATCCTCTAGTTTCATCAACAACTTGCGTGCGCTCGAAGGCAACGTCATGGCTGCCCTGTGAGAGAGCGTGTTGAAGCTTTTCGTGGTTCCGACGTACAACGAACCACAACTACACGGTTTTCAGTATACTCCTGGGGTACTTAAGGGATCCCGGATCTTTTGCTGACCTAAGACTATTGTCTATCGTTCTCACGGGCTTGAAAATGGCCTTAACCCCATGTTTTTCGAGGATCCTTCCAGTTCGGTTCGTCGCGTATGCAGTGCAGAGTTTCTGTATGGGTAGTGAGGCTCAGTTGATTTCGGCTTCGTTAAATCCGTTACCCAGAAACGCATTCTTCAGATGACACATCTCCTCATGTAGCCCTTCTAGTTTACAGATACGTCTTGCCCCCTCTACTAGAGTCTTAATAACCCCTCTTTCGGTTTGTTCGAAGCGACAATGTCTCTTGTGTTGAGAGAGTCGGGTACCTTTACTTCTTTTCGTGACTGCAATGTAGACTGACCCGCAGCTACAAGGAATCCGGTATATCCTGGGTGTTGCTAAAGGCTCTCTGGGATTCTTAGCTGACCTTAGACTTTCTCTGATAGTTTTCGTTGGCCTGAATATTGGTTTCACGTCGTGTTTCTCTAAAATTGTTCCAATCCGGTCTGTAACATTTTTAATATAGAGAAGGAAATATTTTCCCGTAACAGGACTAACTGAGGATACACAGTTCTAGCACACACATCTGTGTTTGTTAAAAACCAACACAAACACAAACAAACAGGTACCTGTTACACTGTTACACTATTGACGATAAACTGACCTGGAATAACTCTGAACTCCTCAATAGTGGAGGTTGGTGTAATTTACTCTGATCTCCTCAATGAAGGTGTTCGGTGTAATCTTTCTCATTCGTCAACTGAGAAATTTTACTGGCTTTTCCAATCTGAAATCAGTTTACTTCTGATTTTTCCTTTCACTTGTCAGTTACGAAGTTATATTATGTGGAATTCATCTGGTACAGCCCCTACTTACAAAAAATAAAAAAGGTTCCCAGTCAATGGAGATGAAAAGTACTGTGGAAAGTGCCGGCCAGACTTTAGTGCTCAAAGAATAATGAACCTACCGTGCATTTGCATTTTGGGGGTTCTATGACAACAATTTTATCACGAAGGCAGATCCCCAAACTTACTCAGCTAGAATCGCCAACTTGATTAAGTTATCACGTTTGCGCTTGACCAAGTCTTTCAAAACTTTTCTGAACGTCAAACTTCATAATATATTACCTAAACCAAACATAAAGTGAAAATTTATTTAAACATCACCAAAAAATAATTGCTTTTTAAAGAAAAAAATTATCCTGTTACCCAACTCAATTCAGGATATTTTCGAGTAGCAATATAAAAAAAAATACGTAGCCCTTTAAATTTGAACATTCACTTTAGTTTTTGAACAGTTCACGTATACTGATTTCGGGGATGTATCAAGTCTAATGATTGTTAAATCAAGTTATAATTTTAACATGTAAAAACTCTTCGGTGAGTCATTTAATTTCATCACTTCTCACAAAATTAAAACGACAACAGTTATAAAGTTTATGGCAGGTATGGTTTATAAAATCCATTGTTACAGAGCCTCGAAGAAAAATTTAATGAAATTTGAAACGTTGGCAAGAAAACAGTTGTCTTTCTGAAATAATTTATTCATGTTACCCAAAAAAACCTTTTTTGAAATAAGTATTTAACATTTATGTCCCAAATTTCTCAAAAATATTCGTGACAATCAATAACGAAATTGATGTTTGTTAACATAATTGATGATTAACATAAAATAGTTTGTTCCCCTTTGTTGCGCCTTGTGAAATTTTTTGTGTGAAGTTTCAAACACCTATTAGCAAATGTTCAAAGATTTTTAACGTTTGTCTCAAGAAAAATTAGGCCCAACTGCATTATCTGTCTACAAAATGATAAAACGCTTTGGCTGCTTTAACGAAGTGGATCTTCATGTCTATAAACTTGAATAAATAATCTCGCGTCTTCTCAATTTTCGTTATTTGTTCGAGGCCCGTCTGAAGAGCCGCTTTAACTTCGTCGTGCCGAGAAATGCGTAGTCGTTGGTCCCAACTTTTTTATCCCATCGTTTTCAGTTAGTTGAATAAAATAAGACAACTGAGAGAATGCAAAGTTATAGAGAAAATGAAAGTTGAAAATCTGTGGTATTTTTGTGTTGTGACCAGTTGTTATTTGTCACTGTGCGCAGCTTGGGATGGAATGATTCCTTGGTATACGGGAACAAGTAAGTTATCATAATTTTATAGTTTTTTCTTATCTTCGTTTTTAATTTTTCTGCAGTAATGTTCACATTGTTTTCAAATAAAAGCGGTATCTGGTCAAACCCAGATGATGGTAAAAGACAAATTAATATTATTGAGTCATATGCTTATAGAATGTGAAACTTTCTGTACACAAGAATTTCCAATAAGTGTCGAAGATAATTCGATTTCTACGATTTTTCGATGCATCAAAACATCGATACATGGATTTAAGTTCAAAAATTCTGTAGTTATGTTATATTATATAGATACTGTTTTTATGAACAGTCACACTGAACTCTGTCACCGATTTGGAACCCGTTCAGCAAAAATCTCATATAAAAGCCGCAGACAGAGATCACCTCAAACACAAGGATAAACCAATGCATGGGGTCTTCTTCAATAACATTAGAGACCTTGGCTCATCAAAGCGCCTGACTTTCGCTTTCCTCAGGTCGAATGGGTTGAAGTCGGAAACTGAGGGGTTCCTCATGGCTTGCCAGGATGGTGTCTTCAACACCTTAGCCTACCCCAGTCGCGTGATGGGTATAGAGGTTCCTGACACAAGGTGCAGGGCCTGCCGCGAGGCGCCCGATACCCAATGCACTTGCTATCAGTTTGTCCAGCATATGCGGTCTCGGTCTATATCCATCGACACAACGCGGTCATAAGAGTGCTATATTACCATCTACGGCACTCTTACGGTATTGGCGAGACACCGTTGTTGCCCTACACTCCGGAGGATATTGAATCCGTTGTGGGGAACGAGAAGTGTCGAATTTACTGGAACTATTCGTTCCCCATCCTCAGGCTCATACAAGCTAATAAGCCTGATGTAATCCTTCTCGACCACCAGAGCAAAACGATATTCGTCGTGGAGTTTTCAGCTCCTGGCGAGACGAGTATCGTCAGTCTGGCGCGAACATGGTCTGGCGCGACCATGAAAGAGCAGTAATTGGAGCATTTCTCTTTAGGGCAGCTACCCGAGCAGCTGGTGAACTCGGTTTAGTTCTCGTCATTAAACGAGGTGATCACAACTCTGTCACCAAGTTGGATCCCGTTAAGCAAAAGACTCATATAAAAGCCGCAGAGATCACCTCAATTCTGCGGCAACACAAGGATAAGCCAATGCATGGGGTCTTCTTCAACAACATTTAAGACCTTGGGTTATCAAAGCGCCTGACTTTCACTTTCCTCAGGTCGAGGGGGCTGAAGTCGGAAACTGATGGGTTCATCATAGCCTGCCAGGATGGTGTCTTCAACACCTTAGTCTTAGCCTTTATTAGAAATATTCGTGCCCCACCCTCAGTCCTGGTGTAGTCCTTCTCGACCACCAGAGCAAGACGATATTTGTCGTAAGAGTTTCAGCTCCACTTGGGCAGAAATCTTAGTATGACAAATGCAGAAGGCTGTTATTCCTGGCTCAATGCGCTTGCGCAGGGTATATGATTCTGGGACCCAATGATC